AATTATTCTGACTTTTAATAATTGATTCATTTCCCCACAATGAGTCACTACAACCAGCCTTGGAGTTCCTGCACCACACCCCACACTTTAAGGTGTGGAAACAAAGTCATCCATCCAAAAATGTATTAACACAGCCAAAAGCAAAAAGAGCTATTAAATAAATAAATTCTTTGTTCTACGTGACAGATGTTTAAACAGTCAACATTCATTAGAATAAGAATTTAAGTTGAAAAAAGTTTCTATTTCCTTAATATTATTTTATTTTAGCTTTGCACAAAAATATCTGGTAGAAATGTGCTCCAAAGATGTTTTACTTTTACACTTTCAGAAATTTTCAGAGTCTGTACTTTTTTACTTTAACCCAAGTAAAGAAGTTGAATGAATATTTTCAACAGTATATTCACTAACCTTTTTGTGCATACATTTGCCAATTATGTTGTACATTCATAAGGTAGATGAACTCATCAAAGTCCAATATAAAATATGGAATTCTTAAAATCGTGAGTTATGCAAAACTTAAGGAAGAAAGTCCAACAGTGGAGCTGAGATGAGCATAACAGATCTGGCTTAAGCTGCAAAATACAGGAGAATCTGCATCTCAAATTAGGAGTGTTAACTTTGTAAAGTATGAAAGGAAAAGTTTTCTGCCAGAAAGTTTTATTTTCTTTACAGTGTTCAGTCACACTTTAGTTAGATTAAGGTGATGGTGTATAACAGACTTTGAGCAATGTTTTCTCTTATGTGGTGTCAGCAGGCACTTTTATACACTCACCAGCCACTTCATTAGGTACACCTGTTCAACCACTGATTAATGCAAGTATCCAGTGAGCCGATCACATGGCAGCAACTCAGTGCATTTAGGCATCAGAATGAGGAAGAAAGGTGATTTAAGTGATATTGAAATTGGCATGGTTGTTGGTGCCAAATAGGATTTTCCCATACTACCACCTCTGGAATTTACAGACTAGTCTGAAAATCTAAATTTTTTATTTATTTATTTATTTTTTGCCTGTCCCATTTGGTTCTTTAGCCGTCAGAATTGTTGTCTGAAGACCACCAAGGATACCCAATGGATTTATTTTGCCAAATTGATCATCACGGCCTTGCCGTATTGGTCCATTTGATCGACCTTTGTTGTTATTATTTATTTTATTTTCAGTTGTTACAGACGGGACAGACATGACTGAGGGATAGGAAAGGGAGAAAGAAAGAGGAAGGAAAAGAAAAACAGAAGGGAAGAGGGTCAGTGAGAAAGGGCACTTAAAAAGAGAAAGAAGAGAAAAAAAATCTCCTGGATCACCTGTTGAGAGAAAAAGAAGAGAAAACAAGCAAAAACAACAGAGCAACATACTAAACACAACACCATCACGTTAATCTAGCTAAGTGTAAACAGCAGTAAATACTAAATATTGAATGTTGTTGTGCAGCACGTAGGACCGACAGCGGACAATGTGCTTGGAAATAGCAGCCAATAAAGGTGTAGTTTATGTCTATGAACAGTGAACACCCGTGTGGATCAGTGCGCTTGTATTCAAAAGGTTTCCCCATGTAATGGGGTCCTGTCCCCCAGGGCATGAAGCAGGCATGGAGGAGATCCAGGCTCCAGACATCCAGAGGCCCCAGAGTGCGAGAGCCCAAGGAGGACCACCGGAGGGGCATCCGTGCCACCCTCCTGGGAAAATCTAAATATTAAATATCCAGTGAGCGAGTGAAGCTGCTGAGAAATGATGTAATGGAGTGGGGATGTTTTCTTGGCACACTTCAGGCCTCTTAGTAACAACTGAGCATTATTTAAACACAACAGACCACCCAAGCATTGTTGCTGATCATGTCCATCCCTTTACGACCATAGTGTAACCATTTCCTGATGGCTGCTTCTAGCAAGATAACAGGCTATGTCATAAAGCTTAAAGCTCATATTAACGGAAAATCTGCATCATGGATCTGCAAATCTGCAGCAACTGTGTTTTGCTATTATGTCAATATGGGCCCAACTCTCTGAGAAACGTTTGCAGCACCTTGTTGAATCTATGCCAAAAAGAATTAAGCAAGGAGTACCTAATAAAGTCTATATGTGACAGGTTAGTACACATAATTGGTAAGCTACCACAGGTGCAATTCTACGTTTGCCAAGGTAGCTATGTTTGGAAACCTCCCAGAATGCACTGGAGCAATAGCAGCATGTATTTACAAGTCGTTTTATGCACATTCCCAATAGTCCTGCATTTTGGAGTGTTACACAATATTTCACAATATGTCACTCAGAAATGTCCTCGTGCCTATTGTTTTAGTGTTTAAATGTCCCATTTTAAAATGTCAAATTAAATGCCATGTGTTCTGTCATTGTCATTTTAAGATAACTTTATCATCATAATGCTTCTTCTTTTTTTTTAGATTTACATACACACGATACACATGTAAAGAAAAAAAAGAAATTTTTGTCTTTGTCCGATATTGTTAATATTTACTGAGTGTGCGCGGTATGTTGTATGTTTAAATGACAATAACTGTATCTTGCTAATACACAGTCCACTAGGTGTCTCTGTTAGACCTCGAATTAAACTGCAGCTCCACCAACAGCACAGCTCTCTCCCTCGGAGGGCCTGTGGTACTAAAAATGATCAACGGACTTGATGTATATTGTGTCACTCTCCCAAGATAGTCCATGTATAGCTCTTTATCCACCATATAGGCAACTCCACAAACATTACACCGTGACTGCATATTTATCACCAGTAGCATGCATATTCATGGGCAGGTTGATGGAGCTCGTGGAGGGATGTGTATGAGTTCTCAGCTCAGTGCTGAGTGCCGGAGCAGAAGGCGAATGTTAATTCAATTATACGGCAGCTGTTCCTTGGTGCCCATGGCCACTGTGTTTGCACTAGAACAGAAATCTTGTATTAGGTCCCTAGCCATAAAAGACCGTTGCCAGGCATGAGAATGGAGACTGCCTGTAACCAAAAGCCATCAACAGTATTTTAAAGAGCTTTTAATGCCTATTTTTGGCTTGATTGAGGAATCTGGTGCTGCTGAAATGTAAGATTTGAGAGATTTTTGCCGCTGCTGTTGTTGTTTTGGCTCACTATTGATTTACAGAGCTGTTGTTGTTTTTTGTAGTTGCTCTATTAAAGCAGCTTGGAAGTATAATGTGCAAATGGGTTTCCTTGCTGTATTAACTCCAGTCAAGGGTGACTGAATAGAGTGTGCATCCTGTGGTGATTGTTTCATCATATTGTCACTCTTTTCTTACTTTGTGCATGTGCACTGTGGAGTCATGCTCATGACTTGTATGTTTTAGGTCTTCAAATGTGCTCAAACAGAAGTCCGTACACGTCATGAAAAGAAGTGCATTCAGC